ACCCACTGGGTGGACATCAGAGCTGGTGTGGACTGTGTGGAGAAGAGAAAAATCTCTTGGCCCTACCGGGAATAGTACTCCAGTTTTTCAGCCAGTAGCCTAATCGCTATACCAACTGAGCCACAAATTATATTTCTCAGTTCTTATCCATAAGTTCCCATTTTTTATAATTACTACTAGAACTATTTCTTACTAGGCACAGTTAATGGTACTGATGTTCGATTCTGCTAACTAACTGCCTAACTGACTGACTGACTGACTGACTGACTGACTGACTGACTGACTGACTGACTGACTGACTGACTGACTTCGTGGAGCTGAGCCCTTCCTGAGAAGCGGCTAATTATGCAGCTACTCATGAACTTCCCAGCATTTTATGGAACCTGAAGGTTCATTACCGTGTTCAAAAGAACCCTCCACTAGGCCTTATCCTGAGCCAGATCGATCCATTCAATACCACCTCATCCTATTTATCTAAAATCCATTTTAATATTGTCCACCCACATACGTCTTTGATTTTTCTAATGGTCTCTTTCATTCTGGCGTCCCCATGGAATTTCTCTATGCATTCCACCTCTCTTACATTTGTGCTACATGCCCTGCCCATCCCATCCTCCTTGACTTGATCATTCTAATTATATTTGGCAAGGAGTTCAAGTTACGAAGCTCCACATTATGCAGTTTTCTCCAACCTCCTGTCACCTCATCTCTCTTCTGCCCAAATATTCTCCTTAACAACCTGCTCTCAAACACCCTCAGTCTATGTTTCTCCCTTATTGTCAGAGACCAAGTTTCGCAGACATACAGAACCACAGGCAAATTATAGTTTTGTACATTCTAATTTTCATGTTCCTAGACAACGGGCGAGAAGACAAAAGATTCTGGACTGAATGGTCACAAATATTACCCGAATTTAGTCTCCTCTTAATTTCCTCTTGATATTCGATTCTACAAGCTCAATTAATTTGATTGACAGATATAAGGACTAGACGGATCTCCAGGCAAAAAAAGTAGGGGACTAACGTCAATGTTATTCCTATGCTCAGCAAAACGCCATAAAAATATACTTCAGTTTTGCCAACGCACAGACTGAGCTACCTGTACTGTTATGGCTGAGAACGATGGCACGACTACAGCAATGGCGCATAGGCACAAGTGGCTGATTCGAAATTCGGCCAACGCACAGGATGTTCTAATCCAAGAATGTCCTGTTTTCCGCAGTTCCTTCAGGGAAATTTCGGGATCGTGCCTTGAAATCTTACGTTAACTTCCCATCATTTTCAGTCCTAAACAACTTCTGCACCTGGTACAGTGCCGTTAAATACTGCCCATGGCAACAAAGTTCAGCTGCATTTCGTTACTTTTCTGTCCAAACTGGACACAGAACTCTGCGTTTGCCCATTTTTATTTATCTTTGCGGTGGTAAGCAAAGGTAAAGTGCCAGCCGTTCCAAAGTTCCATATCATGAAGGTGCAGAAAGGACATAGATGTATGCATTCTAGGTTATGGCACTAAGAGGAGGGTACAGATCAGCTCTACGCTTCGGCCACTTTACTCATGGGGAAATATACTTCGTGAAAAGGTAAAGTTGTGCCTGTTCTTTTTTACTTAGGCACCATGCCTTGTAAGACATATGGGAGAGTGAAGTTATAGCTCCACTGTTCTTGACCTTCGCAGTAGATTGAGGTGAATAACCAGCTTCACGACCCGGCCACTTTACTCCCGGTAAAAGAGCCCCTGGTACAAATTCTAGGAGGTTGGGTGGGCCCCAGGGTTGGCCTGGAAGCTGTGGAGTGAAGAAAAACTTCTTGCCCTCCCGGGAATGGAACTTGAGCCGACCACTTAACACAATTTACACTTTAATGCAACGCTGTTTATAATTTCTCATCAATTTAAAATAACATTAAAATTACAGATAAACTACTACATGTTTCGGCCTTACTTGGCCATCATCAGGCAACTCTTCACTTGTTGAAACCGCTACATTTCATTAGTTCTTAAGCTAAAATATTCAGTGTTATTGCATTTTCATCATCACATTAAAATGCATTTGTCTGAGAACACAAACTCTTTTTATCTTTTCTTACGGCGTCAGTGTTTTCTGTGTTGATTTATTAAGCCGTATGAATATCGGTGTGATGTTACCGTTGTTATTTTTATGTGATGATAGTGTTAACAAAAGTGAATGCATAATGTTATATTTTAGCGTCCTGTTGCACTGATTTTCATCCATTATATGTATATAAATTGTGTGCACTACAGGACGGCCACTGTATACATATAATGGATAAAAGTGAATACACTCGACTGGAGTAAAGGTTCGGCCACACAGAGCGTTAGGCTATGTTCGCTACGTACGCTGTGTACACTCTGCGACGGAGGTAACATAGGGAACATAGCGTACGTAGCGTACGGAAGTCTGTGTGGCCAGTCACATTGGCAATAAAGGGAGATATTTTTCTGTTCGTATAGCTAACATAGCGTACGTAGCGTGCGTCGCGTACGTAGCGCTGTGTGGTCGAACTTTAACTGCGTTGGAACATACGCACTAATGGGGCACATGAAAATAACGACACCACCACACCGATATTCAACACACAAAACACGGAAGCCCCAAGCCATGTTAAAAGTATTATTAATAAGCAAGAACAGACGGCTGCTGCTAGGGAATGGCTCGGTAAACACGTTCCCGCGGCAACGGATAAACATAGAACAGAGGTAAGATGTCTTCTATGTTTTCCGTGACGAGATGTTATAAAGAGGGGAAAAGGTTAGAACTTAGTTTGTGAGAACACGACTTAGTCAGTTGTAAGGGTGCGCAATTGACAGAAAGGCAGTGAGCAAAAGATTAGGATGTTTGTGTGAAATTGACGCGAGTCAGTTGTCAGAAAGACAGGCAGTTGGAAGGGAGCCGCCGTTCTGAGAGGAATTGAGGGTTAGCCATTGTCAAAAACCGTTACGAGGCAACTACTGGTAAAGATACTGCAGGCTGGGAAAGACTTGTAAAGTGTGGAAATCATCGATGGCGCTTTAAGTAAGTGTAATTACGAATTGAGTGCTAAATTAGTCAATAAATCCAATTATCAATCCTAACCTCATCGATAAGCACTCATACACGTGACAATATACACGTATTAACTTAAGAACTAATGCAGTGTAGAGGCAAGTGAACAGTTGCCTGAGGATGACCAAGTAAGGCCGAAATTTGTAAGCAGTTTATTTGTAATATTAACAGTATCTTAAATTAAGAAGAATTTGTAGTAAAGACGAAGTGTGTAAAGTGATACATCAATGCAACAGAATGTAGAAATGCAATATCACTCAGCCGCACAGCCTGTAGCCCTTCGCGACAACTACCGAGCTACCACAATAAAAGGGGCTGAGCGGGTTCTGGAGGTTGGACCTGGTTTCAAAAAGAAATAAGGCTATCTATCAATGTTAGGAACCGAAAACTATCCTCCTAGCCTATGTTCAGGAACTCAACCGATTGCAGAGAAAATAAGTATGTCCGAAAATACACACGAGAATATGCGCTATTCAGGAAAAGAATGTCATATTCTCACAATGCTAACGAAGTTATAACACCAAGAAAAAATTCAAGGTTAGAGAAATCCCCGATTTAGCTCAAACACGTAACTATAAAGTAATGCAAAATTTTGTCCAGATCTGGAGGCAGCATATAAAAATTAATTAAGAAAACTATTATGGTACCAAACCACCTCTGTGGCCTAGTGGCCAGAACTCCTGGCTACAGACCCAGAGATCCGGATTCAATTCCTCGTTACCAGATTTTTCTGAGAAGTAGTGGGTCTGGAACGGGGTCCACTCAGCCTCGTGAGGATAATTGAGGGGCTATTTCAATGAAATAGCGGCTCCGGTCTAGAAAACCGAGATTAACGGCCGTGGGGATTAGTTGCGCTGTCCACGCGACACACTCTACCCGCGAAATTGGCACTAACTTCGCCGACAAGCGGCTGTCGCTCGGTCGGTATAGTTAGCTTGCGGATTAAAATCACGGAGTTTGTTTTTCTTTGTTTATGTTACCATAGTCTTACGCGCCGTAGCTCAAGCGGTTAGTCGCTGGCTTCCCACGGCGGCGGTCCGGGTTCGATCCTGCGTCTGGTCAAGTGGGATTTGTGGTGGACAAAGTGGCGCTGGGGCAGGCTTTCTCCGAGTACTTCGGTTTCCCCTGCCAATCTTCATTCCACCAATTGCCCCACAATCACCCTCACCTATCATCTGGGGCTGGTACAATAGGCCAGAAGTGGCCGCAGTACAAGGGACTTAGCCCCACCCCACTAGCAATAAAAAAATAATAATACCATCGCCTTGTTACCTGGTACAACGTATATGTGTACTTAATGTGATACCAGAGATTAACTCTGTAGAAACAATTTTATCCTCACTGAATTAACATTAAGGTGGTTATCGGGAAAAGCGAACATGTACCGTACATCATAGTCCAGCTTTCCACTCTTGACTTCTGCTGGAATTAATAGCAGAAAATTACCAAGTATTTGTCGGCAAGGAACAGGACAGAAAATGGACAGACCCGACGTTTCCATGCCGCGTTCTACTTCGTTATAGGCTTTACGTTAAAAAATTTACAAATTCATAAAAAAAATATGCTGGCTTAATGTTACTGTCATGCTTTATTTTACTGTAGCCGTTTCGTGACTAACCTCAAAGTGCAGAAAAAGGCATTGCTTTGCCGGAGTTAGAATTCGACCGCTATTTAATGACCCACCGTCAACCTCGAAGGAATATCAGCCAATGACCAAGTAATGGGTAGACGTATTGACATCTGTATAGTTTATTTCCAAGCACAGTCCCGCTAAACATCCTGCTCTGAACGCTGAAAATTTACGTTTGCACTCTTCAGTGTCTAAGAGTTAAACGGAAAATGTGACAGCAGCGTCACGCTCTTCAGCTTGTCACCTAACTTGCAGGCGGGGCCAGGGATCATTCAAACCGCGACTCCACTAGGTAGGTCTACTTACCCTGCGGTCCGTTTGTCGCTGTGGGTACGCGTGCAATATTGCGGGCACCACGATGAGAAGCAGCACGAACGGCCGCATGGTGGCAGCACCTGAAAAACAACGAATATCATGCCACGTTGCAGATCATTATACAAAGAAATCTGAAATAACTGACAGTTTTGTCTCTGCTTCGCTTAACACGACGTTGATGTGAAGCTTTTGTGATGATAATACACAGTGATGTATCTTCGTGCTATCTGCCATGTTATTGTGGTGTTGGTGTCCTTTGTTTCAGAGACTGTATCTTTCTCCATCATCAGGGTTGATATGATGAGTACCGTATTTACGCATGTATAGGCCGTGTGCGTGTATAGGCCGCAGCACAATTTTCAGACAGAAATTATAGAAAAAATAATTTTCTTGGAATATTATTTCAGGAGTAGAACACCCTGTATTACTAATTATGAACATATTTTTTTTTTAAATGAAGTGTGATTTCGAAAATTTCGAATATAAGCCGCACCCCAGTTTTCCTCTTGAATTTTTGGCAAAAAATGTGCGGCCTATACATGCGTAAATACGGTATTTTATTCGCACGCTGTATTTTAAGTCCGGTCTAGAAAACCGAAATTAACGGCCGTGGGGATTCGTTGCGATGACCACGCGACACCCTCCATCCGCTAAAGTTTGCACTAACTTCGCCGACAAGCGGCGGTCGCTCAGTCGGTATAGTTCGCTTGCGGACTTAAGCCAGGGATTTTTTTTTTATTGCTTTATTTAAAGACTGAACAGAGAGAGAGGAGAAAGTGGGGGAGGTAGTGAGATACGCTTTAAGAAAGGGAGGGCAAGAAAAACTTTTTAATCTCCGGTTCTGAAGGTTCCCAGGCAGTGCCTCTCCTACTTCTGATAGCGGTTATGTTTGAGAGTGTAAAGATTTAGGAAGCGAAAATGTATGAATCCTGAAGGAAAGAGGTTGAGCGCGGTGTTTTACTGCGCATGTATTTATTTACGAAGTAAGCTGTCGGCTGCCCCAGCGCGGACCGCGTGGGGAAACACTGGGTGGGATCAGATTTCACCCAACATTCCGAACATAAATATCAACCCCTGAAGACGGAGACAGGTAAGGTCCCTGAAAGTTCGGACACTGTCTCACACTGACATGGCTGATCGCCCTAGAGGACTTCTATTGAAACAGAACAGAGAAACCGTATCAAAGGTTGCACAAAACTTTTGAGGAACTTCGTGGATAAAACCTACTTCTTCACTTCAAACATCACAAGTAAACGGCGGATTCCATGGCGCAGAATCTTCTTTTCAAGGTGTGGGGTTTCTGAGAAGATCAGAAATCAGCTGCTATCATGGAACCCGAAAGCTTATCTCCATGTTCATAAATCTTCCCCATTAAATCATACCAAGCTGGTTCAAGCCATGGCTTCACACCACATTTTTCAAGAGCCATTAAATACAGTAAATACGTTCAAATGTGGCATCCTTCCACGTTCATGAACGCCTTAGGAGTCATATGATCCCTTGAGGTTTGTGATAAAATTTTGCATCTCTTTCGCGTTTCACCAACACTCAATGTGTACCCTGGCCATAATATCCCCTTGATTTAAATGCTTTAACAACAGGCCTACTGGGCGAAGTGTACAAAGTGTGAAGCTCGTCTTTATGTGATTCTATCTTCTACTTCCTTATTTTATTGGGACACGCGGTAGCATAGTTGGTTGAGGCACTATGCTACAAACCGGAAGGTCACGGGTTCGATTCCCAAGGAGGTGGATTTTTTAATTGACCTGATCCTTTCAGTCGCACTATGGCCCTGGGGCCTACTCAGCTTCTAACAGAAATTAGTACCAGGAAACTCTCTGGGGAGTAAAGGGACGCCGGCGCGTAAGGCTGATAACCTCACCGCCATCTGTGAGCCGATTATCTGGAGAATGTATGAGCCTCCACGTCTCAAAACCCTATAGGCCTTCATGGCCTGTTACAGAGATAGCTGCACCTTACTTTTTTACCTCGTTACTTAATATCTTTTAAAAATGTGGGTAGCGAAGTAGGTTGAGGGGCTATGCTACAAGCCGGAAGGTCACGGGTTCAAGTCCCGATGAGATCATCGAATTTTGGCCGCGCCATAGCTCAAGCGGTTAGTCGCTGGCTTCCCACCGCGGCGGCCTGGGTTCGATCCCTGGTCTGATCAAGTGAGATTTGTGGTGGACAAAGTGACGCTCGGGAAGGTTTTCTCCAAGTACTTCGGTTTCCCCTGCCAATCTTCATTCCACCAATTGCTCCGCAATCACCCTCACCTATCATCTGGGGCTAGTACAATAGGCCAGAAGCGGCCGCAGTACAAGGGACTTAGTCCTACGCCACTAGGATAAAAAAAAAATATATCTTTTAGATTCCAGTGTTCCCCTTGGCGTTTCAGACTGGGTTTCACGAACAAAGGAAAAAATGAGAAAATTAAAGCTGATATATTTTCGCTTTTAGATTTTTAGATACGACAAAAATGTAAAAAAAAAAAGCTATCCCTGTAACAGGCCGTGGAGACCCATAGGGTTTTGTTACGTCAAGGTTCCCAAATTTTCTAGACAATCGGCTCACAGATGGAGGTGAGATTGTCAGCCTCACGCGACGGCCGCCCGTTATACCCCAGAAGGATTCCTGGTACTCATTTCCGTTAGAAGCTGAGTCGACCCCAGGGTCATAGTGCGGCTGGAAGGATTAGGTCAGTTGAAAAATCCAATGACCTCATCGGAAATCGAAACCGCGACCTTCCAGATTGTAGAATAATATCTCGATCAACTACGCTACCGCATGCCCCTTTTAAATAGGACAAACAAAATTAAAATATTCTAAACCGAATGGTAGCAAAGTTCGAATGAAGGAATTAACAAAAATAATAAGTGCATAATTTCTACACACATTCTTGATTCTACATTAAAAGGCAACGGGATATAAAACCGACTTTACTTTCACACGGCCTACTGGCTACCTCGACTGAAGTTACGTCAACTATTCATGGCTGGATGCTTCAAAATTCTTACTTATACGTCATTCGTGATTATTTTCCAATTCCAGTCGAGTCGATAACTAGAAGAGCAACGTCAACCTAATAATGAGTAAGTCTTAAATTAAAATGTACCTCCGACCTCGGAAATTTTCAGAGTTGATACTGTTGTTTGCAAGGAATTAAAATGATGCCGTTACTGGAATGTTTTCTTGCAGAATTATGGAATAGTTAAGAGCTATCCTTGTATCAGGCCATGGAGGCCTATAAAGTTGCGAGACATTGAGGATCCCATATTATCTAGGTTGTCAGCCTTAGGCGCCCGCCGCCATTTACCCCTAAGGAAGATTCCTGGTACTCATTTCTGTTAGAGGCACATTCGACCACAGGGCAATATTGCGGATGGAAGGATCAGGTCAACTGAAAAAAAAACTACCTCGTAAGGATTCGAACACGTGACCTTCCGACTTGCAGCATAGTGCCTCAACCAACTATGCTACCGTGTGCCCCATTATGGAATAGGTCAAAACTCATTAGTGGATACACAAAATAGACCCTAACTTAGGCATATCTCTCATTGCGGAAACTAAGAATAAATACGTCAGATCGGTTGTACATATGTAACACTGTGAAAGTAGGTCGCTATTTTCTTACGAAATTCGTGTCTTCATCTCTAGCCCAAGAACTGCGAAAGTTGAAGAGAGTGCAGCGCATAGACAGAAAAATATGCCAGAGGCTGGATCATTGATGGAACACGATTTTAAGATGAATAAGAACGGGGATGATGCACCCTTTGGTGCGGTGTCAAAAGGGTGCATTTAGTTTAAGTATAACTTTAAGTTTTAAATCGATCGTCTTGTGCGAGGCAGAAAGACAATTAAAAACTCCGTGGCCTGTATTCCGCAAGCGAACTATACCGACCGAGCGACCGCCGCTTGTCGGCGAATTTAGTGCTAACTTTTGCGGATAGACGGTGTCGCGTGATAAGCGCAACGGATCCCCACGGCCGTTAATCTCTATTTTCTAGACCGGAGAAAGAAAACTGCAGACAACTTAATAACGTTTTCTATGAAGCACACTTGCAAGACACTGCTATTACACTAGTGGCCTCGTCTACATGAGTGAGCTTTGTGCAAATGCTGCAGTCTATAAGGTAAAACGTAATGTGCATTTCATACACGTACTTCACCTGCAGCACGTACAGACGATCAGTTTTACAAACAAAAAGCATACCTAGCAAAATGTGCTTAAAGGCTTCTACGTAGTTTGTGCCTCAAAAGTAATTAAATGAAATATGCTGTGACATGTAGAACCATTTCTAGGCAACATCCGAAATATGCGCTCGCAGCAATAGAAAAGTTATCGGAAGAATTATTTTCTGTGAGGTCCTCGCCATGCCCATTGCTAGGGAACGGGTCGCTGAACACATTCTCGCAGAAGCAGACGTGCGGAAGAATACAGAGATGTATTGCTAGGCAACGGCGCGGTAAACAGGCTTTATCAGCAATACAGGCTGTATTTTCTGTGAGGTCGGTGACAAGCGGATACAGGAAAGTTGAGTTTCGAAGATGACGGATGTGGAAGAATGAGAATGAGAATTGAAGGAGTACAAAGGAGTAGAACGGAGTAGAAGGGATTTAGCATGAGAAAAGAAGACTTGATAGTTATAGCTATAGTTACAGTGAGACTCACAAATCCATTGCTAGGATACGAATAGTGAAGACTGAAAAGACTTAGCTTGCCCTAGTGATTGGTGAAATGGATAGATTAGCGATAACGCTATAATTGGTTGTGATTAAGTGAGATTATAAAAGAATGAGTCGATAAATCCAATCATCGAATCCAGAACCCTTTACTATTAGTCACGGAGCCATAAACGCGTGACAATACACAGTGATGTTTGTATAACAGAAGTATCCATATGAAAGTTTATCAAGCATAATCAGCATCTGGAAAAAAAAACTTAATTTAGCCGTGTATGCTCATACGTAATGTCATTAAAATGAACAAAACTGGGCCCAAACCAACATGGCCAAAAGAACTTAATTACATGTCTATCGTATCTATTAATTTTAATCCAACTCCGTCTCATAGTTCGGC